ATCACCATAGGCTCTGGCTCAAATGCTATTTCATTAAATTCTTCTGTATCTGCCAATTCCTTTCGATAAAATGACTCAGTATATTCCTTCCATGTTCTATAATGTATTTGTAAGATCGGTTGGTTTTTTAAAAATTTTTTGTGTGTGTACCGTCAAATAGGATCTGACTGGTACAGGAGGAGATTGCCCTTCCTGGTGGAATGTACTTGTAGGATCAGTTTTGAACTCCATCTGTATACGCCTGTTCTACTAGTGAAAAGCCAAGCAATGTGTGTTGGCCAAAGAAAGGCAAGAGTAGCTGTTTGAGAAACCACTTTACAGTGTATATAGTCAATAGTTCTCTCACACAAATGGACTCAGCTCTGCCAAGCTCTATCCCTCACCCCCAGCCCTTTTCTTGTCTTCTCATTTAAGGTTTATATTTAAGGCAAAAGAACATTAGGTTAAAAGCCCCTTCTTTTCCTGTCCCTTTCCCAGACAAAAGCATTCCTAGACATACCTGATGATGACCTTTTGTGTAGCCTCTAGACTTTACATGTTGTTATATATCGTTGAATTTGAACTTACCCCTAGCTGACGCTCAGTGGATTTTCAGAGGCAGTAAGTTACAGAAGGAGATTGCTTATCTTTCTGTTGGAGACCAGCTGGTTGATTTGAACCATGTGCCTTTGGTTGGCAGCGCAGCTTCTTACCACTAGACCACCAGAGTTCCCTCTATACTTTATACACAAGTAGATAAAGATGTTTTTATGGATTGTCAGGTGACTCTTTAGATGGATTTTCAGAGGCTGAACTTGCCCATTATTCTTCCAAGGAGCAGCTGGTGGATTCTAACTGTGTGCTTTTGGGTTGGCAGCACAACTCCTTACTGCTAGGCCTCCAAGCTCCCTCCCTTCTTACCACCGGGCCACCAGACAAAAATGAGCTGATGTCCATCCCAGAGAAAAACAGCTGATAGGACCTGCTCACCCAAACTACACATATCACTACAGCAGTCAACAGGGGACAAGTAGTGAATATCTAAAGGCTGTTAGTACTATTATACTCACACACAGAGACAGGAGAAGAAAAGTACACTTGAGGAAGAATCTTCCTTTTAAAGCTCTCATCTTCTCACAATGATTGGGGAGGGGAGGAATTTATCTCTTTTACTTCTGTCAGGGCCTAGTGCTTACACTCAAACTGGCTGACTTCTCCAAGAAAAGTGTTTGTTCTACTATTACTCATCTTAAAATTCAGAATGTCCCTTATGCCATTTGCTGCTACTACTGCCTTTTGCTTAAAGTAGTGCCTTTCTCTATACTTCAGTTGTTTTTGTTCCTCATTTCCAAGAGTTTTTAATACGATGATGGGGTTAGCCTTTTCTATGTAGGGAACAGTTCATCGTATCACACATTTGGTTGGTAGACAGGAATCGTCCACAGGGAAATTGCTTATTATGAATATTTGTACCATTTGATTCACAGATCCAAAGAGCCGTCTTTCAGCGAGTCCGTGCCTAATTTTTTTGTAAACCTCGTGTTTACCTTGCACAGTGAGCCTCATGTTTTGACATGTGCATGAGAATGTTAGTTTCAATCTCTCAAATTAGGAGGGAATATTCTAATCATTTAACAAGTTTGTAATATTTCCACAGAATTGTGTTTATGTGCCATCGAGTTGGAACCAACCCATAGCTGACCTTCCTGTAGGTTTTCAGAGGCTGTAAATATGCACTGAAATCGATTGTCCACCTTTCTCTCCTGAAGCAGTTGGTGGGCTTGGACTGCCTGCCTTTGGGTTGTCAGTGCAAATCCTTACCCACCAGGCCTCCAAGGTAGTCTTGGCAGAAGCAATAACCTTTTCCTTCATACCAGCTTTTACTCCCTTTCAAGTTAAAGACTTTTTAGAACTTCTTTTTTAGTTCTAAAAATTCCTGACTTCTGTAATAGTGTTGTATAAAGAATTTCTTTTTAGTTACAAAATAAATTTTCATTAAACAATTAGTATCACCAGGCCCTCAAAATACAAATTAATATCATTTCATACCCATAGATTGACCCTTACTAAATTGCCAGGTTAGGGCGTTATTTCCCCTAAAAGCTAACCCTGTTCTTTTATCCTGGCAGGACCGGCCAGCCATGCAGCTGTACCAGCCAGGGGCTCGTATCCGGGCCCGTTTGGGCTCTGCAGGTAATTCCTGTGAGTGTAGTGGGACACCGGCTGAGGACAGCTGTGATGGGAAGAAGGGTGAAGCAGAAGTCTCAGGGGTTCTTCCTAAGAAGAGTGAAGAGGGGGAGTGAACCATGTGTAAGCCAAATTTGTGAGAAGTGTTAATTTCTCATTCATGTTTCCAGAGACTAGAAAGGGTATTCTTAATGCACATATATGTTACCCTAAGATATACTCTAGAAGGTTAACATCCCTTAAAAGAAAACTAGAAATACAGAGAGTTGTCTTATTAATGTCTAGAAACCATCATTAAGTGATTTTATTTAACTGAGCAGAATTTTTGTAGGTTTACCAATTTCTAGAATAAGCTAGTATTTATTGTGTAGGCAAAACATAGGAAAAATATCTCCTTTGGAAAGTGTGACCAAAACAGAAAAGGTAATGAGTATTGTGTCAGTGTGAATTCTGTAACACTTTATATTAAACGATAGGAATAATTTGCACTTTGTAGTTTATACATTTGTAAATTAATAATCTGTAGGAATTTTACCTCATTATGTTTCTTGTTAGTTTTCTGTGAGCCAGTGTTAGCAACATGTCATTGCTACTTTTGAATCTTCTGTGATAAGCATCCCAAGTTTCATTACATTTAGAACATGCCTCTAGTATATAATTCAGAACACTATATCATTTCCAACAGCTTTCGGTAATTGATGTTTTAAACAGTTTGGGAACTGACATGAAAACCTGTTTCCGTCTTTTGATGTGCTCATGGTTTATACCAAATATGCTTTCAGGATTTGCCTAATGTCCTTCTTTTGGAACAGAAATTACACAGGTGTGGCTTCTAGGCTCTTTTTGCAATTTAAGGCAGCTTTCATATTCAATAATGTAATGTGTCTCTCTGAAACTATGCATTCTACAGTGTTTTTTCCTGTTTAGTGACTCTTTAAAAGGTTACTATATTTTTGGCACTGTATGCTGAAACTTGTATTGAATAAAAATTTGTTGCTGTGTATTTTAATGCCAGTTACAGTAGTTTTCCTATATAAAACTTTACAAAATAAAAGATTGCATTTTGAAATATGGCTTTAATTATCTGGATACTTTGCTAATTGGATCCATTCCTTGTTATTGGTATAGTAAAAAAGTGTATTTGTTGAAAAACTAAGACTGTATCATTTAGATTTTTTTTTTTAAATCTATGAGTGGCACCCACTTCCTAAACAACATGCCTCTGGAAACTTTATGAACGTTGAGAATCGAAGATAGTTATAGAAGGGCTTCAGGCCTTTTGTTCATAGGGTCGCTATGAGTCATGCTCGACTTGACAGCAATCAACAACAACAACAACAACATGATAGACATGCAGTCCATTTCATAGCGCTGGAGAGGTGCAGGGTCACACCCTTGAACTTTGAAAGAAAGAAGAGGGAGGAACTGGTTGTGTGTGAGCAGGGTCATTTACACAGCTGAGCTTTGGGACAGACCAGTAATAAATCATGAAGACTTAGGGGCCCTGCAATTTCTGTCATAACTAATAAATCCTGCGATTAGAGCAGGTAGTAGCTGTAGACAATATTTTTGTCAGTGGGTCTCCTAAACAGTGACCTTGCTGTAGACCTCTTTCATTGCAGTTTGACTTTGATGTGAAAATTGTCAGATCAGAGAGTCAAGGAAGTGGGAAATACTTGTTTCTAAGATCCACCATCATTAGGACCTGTTAATTTGCTGGCTTTGTTGGTATTTGGAACATTGTATTCCCTAGAATTCCCTTGTGCTTATTTTTAAAAATGTTAGTTTAAAACTATGGTTCTCAAACACTTTGATCTCGGAATATTATCACATGCCTAAAAATCACTGAGAACCCACAGAGCTAAAAAATTTGTAGATTTAGATTGTTTCTGAGGTTATACATTTTTAATGGCAAAAAAGCTGTGGTGCAATCTCAAAGGCACACAGTTCAAATCCACCAACTACTTTGCAGGAGAAGGATGGGCAGTCATCTCCTGTGCAGTTAACTGCCTCTGAAAACCCTCTGGAGGGTCAGCTATGTTGGTTCTGACTCAGTGGTACACAATAAACAACAGCATAGTCAAAATGGAGAAATAAATGTTTAAAACAAGAATACAGAATGAATAAAAAAATACAGAATTAAATACTTCCTTTAGCCATCAGGGAAATGAGGTCATCCACAGCATGTAGCCTCTGGAATTCATGAGAGAAAGACTGAGAAATGCAAATAACATCTTAATATAAATGCAGGTCTGATTTCACAGATTATCTTACAAGGACTCAGAGCCCCCTTCATGGGGATTCCTAGAAAAAACATTGAGAACCACTGGTTTAAGACAATAATTAAAAAAATCCAACCAAACTGTTGTGGGGATTGTTTCTGACTCAAGAAAACTCCTTGTGTGTCAGAACTGAACTGTCATCCATGGGATTTTCAGTGGCTAAACTTCTGGATGTTTATCTCCAGGCCTTTCTTCTGAGGCACCTCTCCAGTCTTGCTTATAGGAGCAAAGTACATTAGCCATTTGCACCACCCAGAGGTCCCAAAACCATGATACATTTTAATAATGGCTTACTTTGTCATAAGATGCTTTCATATATATTTCTCGATTTAGAATTTGACTCACTTTTCAGATCAGCTGAATAGTATGTACATGACTTACTCCTTTATTTTTATATATATATATGAAAACTGAGTTTTGGAGATGTATTTTAACTGGTAAGAGCTAAAACTGGTCACAGTTTTATTACCAACTATTTTTAAAACTCTTTAGTTCAGCATCTGCCTAACAAATGGCAAGAAGGTTAAGGAAAAAGTAGTAATCCCATGGGAATTGTAGAAGATTATTTAAGGACAAGACTGAAGTATTTGATGTGAGCAACAGTATATGTGAAGTTTAGCCTCACTTCTTTTAGATTTTTGGTAATTCTTTTCCTAAAAATTTTCTATAGCATTTTTTTGTATTCTAACCTTTGGGGTTTTTTAACTACTTAGTTGTTGTAATGTGCCATTGAGTTGAGTAGGACCCTGTGAGCAATGACTGTGAGCCTTGTCCTATCCTGAACCCACCTCACCACTCGTAGTCTTACTAAGGATGTTCTGAACATGACCATAGCAAGGAGGAGGAGTTAACTACTACCACTTTAGTTCCTCAGCACTTTGCTAGCAAATGATAAACATCATCTAATGGAAATCATTTTTCACTTTTGATATGAAATTGATACTTTCAGAAATGGTATTTACTACCTTTGGAGAAAAAATTTTTCACTTGAGTAGTAATAGTCACTGAGAAATTTTGCCCCACTGCATAAATTTCACGGCAATGAAACACTTGGTGTTGGCAAAGAATACTGAATATGCCATATACTGCCGGTAGAACGGACAGATATGTCTTGGAAGTAATTGAGTGCTCATTAAAAACGAAGATGGTGATACTTCTCTTTTGTACTTTGGGCACGTTATCAGGAGGCACCAGTCCCTGGAGAAAGACATCATGCTTGGTAAAGATCAACGAGAAAGAGGAAGCTCCTTAACGAAATGGATCGGCTGGATGGCTGCAACAGTGACATCCAACATTCATGAGAACGGTGCAGGACTCGGAGGTGTTGGTTCTGCTGTGCACAGGGTCCCTGTGAGTCAGAACAGACTCTATGGTACTAGACAACAACAAAACACAGAAGTGGAATGGAATAGTAAGTGGAATAGTAGGTTCCATTCACAAGTTTTTAGCAAAGGTTCTACCAATGTTTACTGCTACTATTCTTCATAGCAACAAGGACTTACGTGATATCTTAGTAAAGATACTGTCTTCCCTGTAGAATGGAGGAACACGTGGTTCAAGGATCACGAGTAGCCAAAAGATCATTGCTTCTCTAGAGGCCCAGTCGTTACCATTAAGTCACAGCACTCGAGTCAATTCCAACGACAGTGACCCTGTGTCAGGTTCTCAAGGCTGTGAGGAGGGTGCCCATCTTCTCCCTCTGAGCTGCCAGTGGATTCAAACCACTAGAACCACCATTAACTAAGATGAAGGAAGTACAACTTGGAGGTTTCTCCGATCTCACTTATTATTTAATAGATTCCTTCTGAGGTGAAAGAATTCTGCCAACTCAATGACAATTAATTTGGTTTTTAGTTTGATCTTAACGCTAATGTAAAAACATGTTGTTGGGGGCCATCAAATTGAGGATGGCTCATAGTGACTCTATGAACAACAAATCTGAACCCTGTCCTATTCTGAGACATCCTCATTATTTCTGACATACTTGAGCCCATTGCTTAAGTCACTGTGTCAACCCATCTGGTTGAGTCTTCCTCTCTTGCACTGACCCTCCACCTTTCCAAGCATGACGTTCCTCTCTAAGGAACAGTCTCTTCTCCAAGACATGTTTGTTTGTTCTTTTGGCAGTCCAGAGGGTATTTAATACTCTTCTCCAATACCAAGTTTAAAGGCACCAATTGTTCTTCTGTCATCCTTTTTCATTTTTCAGTTTTTATCACTCTGCTGTAAAAATACTGTGTTTACTTACTTTATGCTATAATTACATTTTTAAACAAATTTACTTTCTAGTCAATTTCTCTACTCTTTTAAATGAAGATTAAGTCTTTGAAACAGGCACTAAAATGAAGAATTAACTACTTATTTTATCAAATTTATGTTGATAGCCAGACTGTTGTTGTTATATACCATTGAGTCAGAACCAAGTCATAGCTGACACACCAGCAGGTTTTCAAAGGCTCTAAATCACAGGGGAAGATGCTTATCTTTCTTTCCTGGAGCAGATCGTGGAATTAAACCATATATCTTTGGGTTGGCAGTACAACTCCTTACCCACTAGGCCACCAGAACTCCCTATAGCCAGATTAGTAGCCAAAAAAAGTATATAAATGTTAATTTCAGAACAATATTCCAGAATAAGAGGATTTAAAAAGAAATAAACTTCAAAACATCAGATGATTGCTCCAACCAACCATCAGCTACAGACAAGATTTAACAGCAATAATTTGAACATTGAATTTAAAGCTTTATTTCAATCTTACTGTTCCACTTAAGTTTAGAAAAAAGCAGTCTGTCTTCTCTGTGTGAGTGTCTGACAGGTTGCATTTTGGTGGAAA